AACAGAAACAATTAATAGGGGTATTTCTAATTGATTCTTATTTTATTCGTATAAATTAAAATATCCTATTTTTTTGTTTGTTAAGGATTCTGTTATTTGTTGGTAAACATAAAAATTAAACAACAAGTATTCTTTATTTTTAATAAATTATTAACTAAAGGATTGTCAACATGAAGAATACTCCTCCCTCCAGATCACACTTTTTATCTCGCATTTCTGGTCATCAAATAGGGCGAACATAATATAAAGGTAATAAGAAAATAACGAAACAAAATTTTCAGGAATATCTTGACTGAAATTGCTGAAAAATTTGTTCCATTCTTATAATTGATCAGTCGACTACTTACCCATCTCTAATAAAAAAAAAATTATAAAAAAATGATACTAGAATACATTGAAGAAGGGGACTAACCGTGTAGGAAGAGATGAGGAACCCCGCCTGATGAAAACAATTTATCACCAAGGTATTGTTTTAAACCGACAGAGAGGCGCCGCAATCAGTTCTTCACTTTACTAGCAATTACTGTTTCAAACACCTGCTCATTTACATTAATAACGTTGCTCTGGTATACAATGGAATAGACACCGGCGACTCTAGTACTAAAAAAAAATAGAACAGTAAAAAAATTTAAAATAAATAACGTTTGGGCGCCAATGTTTTGGTTGTTGGCGCCGCCTCGGTGATTGTTTACCTGGTACCCAGCTTTGTCGCCATCCCTCCAGTCCAGATCTTCGGCAATGGCGTGGCGCCTTCAGGAACCATAAGCGTTTTTTCTGAATGCTCGTCTGTTAATTCATTTTACATTACTGTTGATACATTTTACAAGTGAAAGCTCGGCTTAACTAGGAGTTATCTATATCGTTATTATCGCGATATTTGTATGAATGCATCGATGGTTAAACCTTATACATTTCGGAGTAAAACATAAGGAACCAAAACGCAACCATCCAAGGCCCGGATGTTCTTTTGGTCATTTTATTTTATAATAGGTATATTTATGCAGTTTGCACCTAACTTGTTATAATGCTGAACAGTCAGCACAAATTTTAAATAAATCAGAAAAAACTCTTGTGTAACCTGCTAAAGTATTATTAATTATATTAAGATTATCATTGTATTGTAAACAAAGTTTCTGAATTCTCCTGCTTGATTCATCTAATAACATATTTTTAAAATCTCAAAGCGAAATAAAAAGGCAGATGGTTGATAGATACCAGTTTAATTTTATATGAAATGAAATTCCAGAGCATCCTGTGTTTTTACCAAGACAGCAACCGCATTCTATCAAATTGTTTTTGGTATTGTACAGGCTTGTATTGGTAGACTGGTATTGTACAAAGAACTAAACAAGACATTAAAATCTCATTATAAACTTCTTCGCTTCTCCGTGCATTTACGAAATTAGTATCACTTGAACGGACCCCAGAGCAGTGGTGCCCAGAAGAGGGTTTTATGGAACAAATTGCTCCATTAAGATTTTTGAGGGAGGCATAATTTAACGAGTTTTTGAATTTTCGAGGGGGAGGAAGTACATTTCGACGGAGTTATGAATTTTTGGAATAAAAAGTTTCATAATAAGGAATAAGAAGAACTCATGGAACAGACCGCAGGAAGTATAACTGTATATTATCTACGATATTTCTAAGTCTACCTTCGCTTGCTCTGTTTTTAAGAATAAGTGAGCAATAAAATATCTTGGGAGTGGAGGGAGAGAGGAGATTAAGTTCTTGGCCATTGAACTTGGGGGAGGGGAGAGGATTATGGGTACCCCTGACCTAGAGAACGTTTAAATCGTGTGTACTAGTGGTCATATCTAAGCAAATTTCTTAAATACGTTCTCGACTTAAACATATTTAAGAGATTTACAATACTTAGCACTGGTTGTATGAATATCCCTATCTATAATACTAATTTTAAATTATTATTTATTATGTATTGTGGTTTATTTATTTATTTTTTTATACTATCATCTTCAGCTAATCAGTAAATCAAATTTTTTTGGGGTTTGTTTATGCCCCACGGCACATAAACACAGCACACATAGTACATGGGAACCCCGGGCACCCGTTTTGAGGATCTGGCTCAGAGAAAAGCGCTCGCCTCTTGTTGATAATTATTAAGTGTATTAGATAAATTAATTTTAAATTCTTAATAAAGCAGTTGAATTATACACAATGTATTATATTGAACGCAACATAATTTGGGTATTAAGATATCACTGATACTTGCTTTTTGATTTAGGGTAGATACGTGGAGCACTCATGACTTAATTTTCCGGTATGCCTAATGCCAGAGAATAAAGCACAAATAAACTTATTTTTCAGTGTGTTTCTTTTTAAATAAATATTTTTTTTATTTGATATTTCATAATTCGTACATCTATACTAAATATAATCCATTTGAAAAAAGAAGAATATTGATTGAAAACCACAAAAAAATATTTTGTTCAGCTACATCATAAAGATAAATAAACTGAAGGCAGAAGCCACTGACTGCTTCCTTGTTTAAACCTGCAGTTTCACTGCACCACAATAGAGCGGCGGTTTACCGCAAACATGAAGGATGATCATAGGCAATACCACCTATAATATTTTCTATTAAAATAATTGATTTAGAAATATATAAATGTTGACTTCTGGCTAGTTCGGATTTTGACATTAGGAATAACACGTACAAACAGAGTTTTCGCCATAGGGAATTATAAATTATTAATTAAAAAAAAGTGTATTAAGTCTGAAAAAGTAGAACATTACCAATCACTTATTAATTTATTTCTGAGAAGATGGTACATGCAATGATATAAAGTGTAATTAATAAAAAATAACTTCATGTATTTTAAATAAATATTTATTAATATTTGACTCCCAAAAATGGTTCGGTATTAACACAAAAATACTTTTTCTAATAATGCTTTATTGTGCATTGTGTTTATTTGTTAAATTTATGAGTTAACATTATGATTATTTAACATTATGAGAAGTTAACATTACGATCCAATTTCTTATCAAATTTATGTTGATCATTAATTAAAAACATAAATTATACTTGGATTCGATTTTTTTTTCTTAAATAATTTGAATGCGAAATGAGTCAATTGGGTACTTTCGTGAAGTTTTAATTTTTATTCGTTGTTGAAGATTATGTGATAACAATTTTTTTTTACATTTCTTTAATGAGTAATATTAAATCTTGTTATAAATAAGGTAATATTGACAGAGAAGTCCATGTGTCATAAATGCAGTTAAATACATTTTATTTGTTTAGCTTAGAATAATTTTTCTAACTTCAAAACTTCCTCTCACGAAATATCTTTCCAGTTTTTCTTTTACCCTGTCGTCTTTGATAAAATATTTAGTGTGAAATATTATATTAACTTTTATAAACGCATGTTGATAAATAAAAGCGGAGAGACACGTTGACAGCACGGGCGGATCTACGGGAGGGGGAGGGGTGTGGCTTTCGGGCTGAAGCCCCCCCCCCAAAATGGTAAAATATAACCATGTTTTATCGCAAAAAATATTAAAAAATTATCTCTTAAAGTATAATTATTCGTGTAATTACATTTAAAAGGGCTTTAGGAATCACTTAAACACCACTTCATATAGGTAGTTAGTTTCTTTCTTATTTACCAAAGTAATTATTGTTATTTTTATGAAAAAATATGCTTTCGGGCTGAAGCCCCCCCAAAATTATATCCTGGATCCGCTAGTGGTTGACAGTATCGTGCATGTCAGCCGTATGCGTCACACTACTGTGGACTTAAGATACATCCACCGTCCCCACCTCACCTTCGAGACGCACTGTAATATGATTTTTATAGAAAATTTTGCTATTGTTAGGATTGATATTTTCTATTAGACATCTTATAATAATATCAAAAAATAATAACTATAGGAGTGGTGCGAATTGAATTTTACGACATACGATAAATCAAATTGAGACAGATTTCTCAATTAACCGTTAGGTAATACCAATAATATATATTTTTCGTATTTATCAAAAGTTTTGGGTATGTCACCTTGCTATTGTACTGACGATGTGAAACACAATCATTAAATAACATCAAACGAAGAAAGAACAATAGTTTAGTGTTACCATGTCCTCAACAGTAAACTAAGAATTTTCTGTTATACCTAGTTCTGCCATACTGTTACAAAAGTTGAACTTTATATACATCCTTGGGTATAATTTAGATGATCCTTACATCTATCAGGTGATTTTCTTTACATGTCATAATTCCAGTTAGTTTGTATTTTTCTTTCGCTCAGTTAACATGGAGTGGGGTGATTTAGAAAACCGAATAGCTGTGATCGCCTTACACAAAGTTGGAAAATGTAGGTCAGAGATTTTCAACACTTTGAAACCTTTGGGTACCAGCCGTATGTTCATGTACCGCACTATAAATAGATATAATGAGACCCTATCTGTATGTGACAGACCTCGACCGTCCTCGCACTATGAAACAGCAAATGCAGTGAAAACAGTGGCTGCTCGAATCAGAAAAAATTCCATTCGAAAACAACAAATCATGTCTCGGGAAATGGAAATCTCTGTCAGATCAATGTCTCGCATGATAAAAACTGACCTAAGGATGGGTGCATTTCGAAGAATGCACAAAGGCTAACCAGTTTCCTAAAAAAAAATTAAGGTGGATAGATGCAAGTGTTCCTTGGCCGTTACAACAATGGTCTTCATTGAAATATTTTGTTTAGCGATGAGAAAATTTTTAAAATTGAAGAAAAAATTAATCGCCAAAATAATTGTGTGCACGAAAACAGCTCAAAAGAAGCCCAGGAAGTCATTGGAAGAGTGAAAAGAGGTCATCACTCTTCCTCAGTGTTGGTTTGATGGAGAGTTTGCTTTGATGGCACCACAAAGCTCCATTTTTGTGAAAAAGGAGTTAAAACAGCCTCTAAAAACTATCAGGACGACATTTTGGAACCTGTTGTCAAGCCTCTAAATGATTCCCTGTTTGCTGTAAGTCATTGGGTTTTTCAGTATGATTCCAATCCAGCTCACAAGGCCAGGTCAACTTAGCAATGGCTGCAAAAGAACATTCCAGAGTTCATCTCTGCCTCTGATTGGTCCTCAAGAAGCCCTGATCTCAACCCACTTGGTACCGGCTTTCATCCGAACTGGAGAGGATGCCATGCCACAGACAGAGAACACCCTGACTTGGAAAGTCTCAATCTCAGGTCCGAGCAGTTGAGCGCTATCCTGAAGAAGTGCTACGTGCTGCTATTGATGAGTGGCCACGGAGATTAAATGCCTGTGTCAAGGCAAAATGAGGACATTTTGAGTAATTTATTTTTTGTTTTGCTCTCTATAGATATACATTTTATTTTATAATAAAGTTGTTGAAAAAATTAATTTTTCTATTGAAATCTGTGCATATTTCCTTGTAACAATATTTATGACAGGACTAGGTACTTGTTATTTATTTGTTACAATGATATCTTGTTATAATAATATTTGTCACAATGTTTGCGTTTTGTTTTTATTTTCTCTTCTAGTTAATGATTTCTCAGTGAGCTGACCCCAAAACACGCTGTTGATGATGTAGCACCTTGGCAACACCTACGGGAACTCCTTAGTTCAGGAAGTAGGAAGGGAAGGAACCTAATGGTGCTAGTTGGGATTTTCGGTTAGGGGCTTTCTATTTTAATGGAGATCCCTTTTCCTTTTCAAACTTACGTCATATCTCGTTTTAAATGGACACTCCTACTTATCTGTAAATTACAAGTGGTCTAAATCCAATCAGCGATCCTTGCTTCCAATTTCAAAATTAATTTAATATTTATCCAGGCATTCATAGCAGCATTGGATCGATTTACAATCATGTTTTTATATTAGGTATTAATTTTTTATGTCGGTTTATTACCGGTTACAAATAATATTTTATATGGAACTGTGTGATGATTTTAGGGATCAATTGCCACTTTCTCATTGACCACTTACTTAGTAATGATGTGCGTACGTAATGATTTATGTGGACAACTTTAACTGCCAATGGTTAAGATAAAAATTTAAAAAATGTATTACCTACTAATATTGCGATTTGGATAGCAAGTCAAGTTATAACATCAAAAATATAACTGCGAAAATACTAAAAATGTTTAATATGACCTTGTTTTTACGATAACAGTCGCAATAGACATTGCGACTTTGAAACGTGTAAAAGTTTAAGCGTGTGGAAGAAAATATCTTGTTTTATAGACTCGGAGCGACTTTTTCCACTTATTTAGGGTAAGAAGATGGTAAGCAGGTTGTAAATTAATATAGAAAATACTACTAAAGTAAAGATGATATGTTTGTCTTGTAATTTAAAAGAACATCACGACTTTTCTAAATTTTAATTTAGCTCTAAAATAAAAATTTTATCATAAAGTCTAAAGACCGAAATTCTTGCTTCATTTTGCATAAAACAATAAAAAAAATGTAAAATTATGAACCATATTTAATATCTCCTGTGAACGCTAGAGTATTAGTCGACATAGATGTTCAGTATTCTACTCTACTCTAATTTGTTTTTTTTAGACCATTTTTCTTATTTATTAAAGTAGCTATTCAGTTATCTTAATCCCTCATGACGTAATCGTTTTAGACGTTGGCCTCGTCATGGTGTTTATGTCCCTCGGACCACTAACTACCCATTACATTACTGCCATAAAATTAGCACATACTGAACAAACATGAACTCTTTACCTATTTTCTGTAATTTGGTGGTCTATGTTATTTTAATTTAATCATAAATTAACAAACTATTTAATTACGAACGATTCAACTTTTTTATAAATTATTTTATTTCTTAAAATGAAAGCATGACGACAGTTCTGTACCTACAATATTATTTACTGCATATTGATTTATTTACCAAATTTACTTATTCAATTTTCTACTATTTCTCGATATTTATTTTCCATAACAAAATATTTCTTCGAATAATAAAATAATATTTTAATGACAATAAAAATCCTTTTTAAGAAAAATGTGAGGAACTTACCTTACTGTTGATATTACCAAAACGTGTTTCTTATCATTTTAATAACTCTTAACTCAAACTTATGATCTTTGATTTTCTCTTCCTCGAAGTCCAGTTTTATCAGTTTAAATATGATTAAATATTCATAAACAGGGTTGTTAAGATGGTTTATATTATGAATACTTTATAATGTACCCTCAGTGGCCCGCGATAATAACTTTTACATGTTTCTACCAATATATACAAGTTAAAAAATAAAAACCTTTCTCACTTTTTTCACAATGATTTTTCCGTTTCGATTCTCAAGATACTTTTCTAATTTTCTTTAAATCGGCCGCCATTTTTACAAGAAACAAGATCCTACTGGCAAACTCTCGTTTGTTAATATAAATGTTATAAATATTTAAAAAAATGCGTTTAGAATTTTCATCTAATAATATAAATTTTTTCTATTAACAGGATAAGATATTCAATGGTACGAAAAATGTTAAAATTTTTGTATTAATGTTAATAGTTAAGCGACGGAAGATATGTTTTTAAAGTTATTTTTATTTAAAAAGTTGTTTCGAGATTTTACCGTATAATCTGGAAAATCTAAATATTAAAATATTATTATTATACTTATATTTAAAGTAATCAGTAAACCACACATATTCAGCAGTAGGAATATGTTGGCGGTTCTTCCTTCTTCATCAGAGATCCATGGGTAAGTGACCAATCCTGAGGCGGGTAAAAACTACCTCTTCTCTCCATGATAGCTGTAGACTTTTTCTAAGATATTTAACATATTGTTCGATTTTTCTTAATTTATTTTCTCTCATGCCAAACTATTGATTTGGCCACTCCAGCTATCCTTTTTCATTGATTCAAAGTATTAGATCGTTGCGATCATTCATTGAAAATACTTGACCATTTTTTATTGCTGGATTCGCCTGTGTGTCTGCATTTTCATTTCCGGGAATTCCACTGTGACCAGGTATCCATAAAAACAATACTCTACAACCAGCGTCTTTCTATGTTTTTAGTTGTATTTTTATTTCTGTTATTAAGAACACTATCCTGAGGAACTCCATTTTCTTGTTGAAAATTTTGCGAGAAAATGTTTCCACATTGTACTTTGAATGATCGCTCATTTAGGAAGTTATTAATAAAGTTCCACATGGGACCCTGTATTCCGATGTCTTTGAGTTGAGTTAATATAATGCATGCTTGGGTGGAGTTGAATGCGTTTTCTATCTCTATAAAAACTGCCATTATATGCCGTTTGATTTTGAAGGCGTGATGTACATCAGATTCTAATTTCACACATCACACATCACACAATTTTCACTTACCACTCTGGGTATTTTTATTTGTATAAGAACCCTTATATGAGTATGTACAAATTTTAATATTTATATCGCTGTAATCTATACATTTAAATATTAAATATTGCCAACAATAATATTTATGAAAACCGCATATGTATAAGTACATAATACTTTCCGAGTCCGTATTATATGAAGCTCATGTTACTTATGGAAGCGTGTTCTAATCTTTCGGGCGAACTCGGGTGTGCTCGAATTCCTTTGGTTCCTTAATTACAACTATTCTTCGTTACGGTCTATTATTTCTCCTTTAGTTAATTATCAAATTTTTTCATGTTTTATATTTAACTATCTTTTATACAAAAGATTAATGTGAAATGGTCAATTGTTAAAAAAAAATAAAATAAATAAAGGTACTTTAGGAGAAGCTAGTATTGAAAATTAGCCATTTAAGCCGTATTAGAAATCATCAATCAGAATAAAATCTACATTTTATTTAAAACTGCTTCATTTTACTCTGATATAATGAATTTAATCAAAATCGTTAGAGCCGTTTTCGAGAAAATCATAAAAAGATGTTTCGACGATGATATAAAGTGCCACATCCAGTTAGCCAATTTTGATGAAAAAATTGCTACAACATCCCTAGTATATAAAAACCTTAAATATGTAATTTCACTTTAGGACGACTTACTGTTTTTGAGCTAGACTGTTAACACACACACAAACTGATGTGCACTGAACATTATTTGGACGCAGGGGACCTCAAAACGTGTATTTTCGTTGAAAACTGAGATTCAAAAATTTTCACGATCGCAATACTTTCCTTTACTATATATTTCATATATAGGTAAATGAAAGTAAAAGCAGAAGTATTAAGTAGTAGTAAAAAGTCATAGAAAAGAAAGTGTTAGAAAGATAAAATATTAATATTCGGGCTAGTATAAGTTTTAATAAAAACTTAAATTTTTTTGTTTGATTGAATAGAAGATTTAAATAAATTGATATAAATTAATGAAAATAAATCCAGCTTTCTAGATAACTAGTAACATAAACGTGTGATAACATCGACGACTGTATTTTTACTTAGAGAAAAGTATTGGTTGATATACAAGAAATATGTATTAATGACGTAGAGATGGTTGACCGTGATATAATATGAGTTGATCGGGAGGTGCGGTAAAATAAATACTAAATTATACAAATAGTATTATTTAATTTTTGACGACGTTTCGACTCACTTTGCAGGTCTTCATCACGCCCTGATGAAGACCTGCAAAGTGGATCGAAACGTCGGCAAAAATTAAATAATACTATTTGTATAATTTAGTATTTATTTTACCGCACCTCCCGATCAACTCCTTCTCGAAATATGTATTAAACTATTAATGTAATTAAATCTTGTAACTTACTTAAATGTATGAGATGACAATTTCGTTCTATTTTCTTTGCATGACATTGTTCAATGCAACAGGTTCATCGGGACAGACAATTATTAACTGTTATATAATTAAATTAGAAAGTCTTGTTGATGATAATGACTGGAAATTAAAATTCCGAACTGAGCGATGGATTAAAGGGTTGAGATCTTTAACTTCTCTTCGTTATGAAGCTGGTTCTACCTCATGTTCTCGTAAGATTTAATTATTGAATAAGATTAAAGTATTACATAATTCTTAAAGATATCAGCATTATAATAAAATTGGGTTGTTAAGACATATTTTTTATTATAACTGTAATATTGTAAAAACGAAACAACAGGTTGGCTACATCATGGCAATCTCGCAGGGTAGTCTGTTTTGTATTTGTATATGTTGGCGGTTCTTCCTTCTTTGTCAGAGATCCATGGGTGAGTGGCCAATACTGAGGCGGGTAAAAACTACCTCTTCTCTCCATGATAGCTATAGACTTTTTCTAAGA